ATGCACTTCAATTTACTATGTCAAAATATGTCTCCACTAGTATGCCAAAAAATAATAATAAAGAGACCCTTCTGGGAAGAGGATTTCAAAGCCAAACAATGGACCGGTAGGTTTCACCTTTCCCAATATCATTTGTTATTGCTCTAAGAATATGTGTGCTTCAAAATTGTTATAACATTGATACTATAATGTATTATTTTTATTTTTATTTTATTTTATTTTATTTAACCTTGACAGTCCAATCATTTGATCAGCAGCCTGAATGGCTTTGCAAGTAGTTGATTCATTTTGAAAGATGTCTCTTTGAGATGTGGAGGAAGGATACCTGAAGGCCTTTCAGTGATGACTGAATGTTGTTCTTTCCTGTTGCAATACTACTGTTTGCCTAGTTGTTGTTCATATGAAAGTTCTGGATTGCACCAGTCTAAGGGTGTCTGTGTGTATGGCAATCCAGGTGTTTCTTTCATCTTTTCTTTGTTCTCCTCTCCCTTTTCCATCCCTACTGTAATCTTTAGGACAAACAATGCCTAACTGTCTCCTTCACTCTTTCGTCCTTCTGGAAGGCACAGAAGTGCTTGAAGTCACAATGGAAGGAAAATAACCCAAATCTCTACTGAGTCCAGAGTAATGCTGTTTCCAGATCAAATCTGGAGAAGCAAGAAAAGGGAGGAGTGAAGAAAAAAGAAACTTTCTTGACAAGCAAACTGGATAAGTTCCCAGCAGATTTATCAGCTCCTCCATCAGTTACCCTTCCCTGTCCTTAGGTCTGTTATGGCCACCCAACACAGGTGCCAGGAAAAGATGAACAGCTAAAACAGACTTGTTAAAGGAGGTTCATTATCAGACTGTCTCATTTCCTTCCCCCTTTTAAGACAAGGAAAACAGGGAGACAGAAAGATGAAAGTAAATTGCAACAAGAGTAGTCAGGGATATAGCTGGACCAGAGAGAGGGCATTCCCTCCCGTTAAATTTTCATTCAGTCACCAGATGTCTAGTACGGTAGTATCTTAAAGAATCAGTTGAAAATCTAGAAACACAGGTTTTTTCATGTCAGGAGTGACTTGAGAAACTACAAGTTGCTTCTGGTGTGAGAGAATTAGCCGTCGGCGAGGATGTTGCCCAGGGGACACCCAGATGTTTGATGTTTTATCATCCTTGTGAGAGGCTTCTCTCATGTCCCTGCATGGGGAGCTGGAGCTGAAAGAGGGAGCTCAATCCACTCTCTCTGGATTCAAACTGCTGACCTATTGGTCAGCAGTTCTGCTGGCACAAGGGTTTAACCCATTGTGTCACCAGGGGCTCCTGGAAACCCAGCTGAGACACCCAAAGAAAAGGAGCAGGTAAAGTTACCAAAGATAGGCAAACATAGCAAATGTGAACAGTTTTCAATGTTTCACTCTCAGCAGTGCTAAAAATGTGGAAACTAAAAGAAAATTTGAGGGGCATTATTGGAGAGGTAAGGCCCTTATTTGTTCTGTAGTGCAGAATGAGCAAAGGTTAACCCGCCATTTTTCTAATTACTTCTGGACAGATGGAAGGGAAAGATGTAGTTGTACTTTGCCCCGTGTCTTTCTCCCAGGAACAGCTTTGGTGGCCAGAAAAGTGATCAAATCATTTTGTCATGATCATGATCAATAGGGATGATAGAGAGAGATAGTCATTCCAGATATTTAGGAAACATTATATTTCAAGAAACCACTAAGGACTGTCTTGCCCAACCTCTCTGAAGTTTTTTCCTTGCTCTCTAATGCTCCTTTCAAGTTGCAGACATTTGAAGATGGGAAGAGACAGCTAGTCTCTGGAATCACATATGTTCAGACACTAAATCCCTGGTCAGCAACACATTCAAAGGGGAAGTCACTGAAAGGAAGAAGCAGAGGCAGTTCCTCTTTGTTGTTCCCCTGCAAGTGTATTTGAATCAAGCAGGAAGGGGGACTTGTACTCTGAATTTGGTTGCTAGGGTCACCCATTGCCATTCTTAATTCAGAACTGGGATAGAAGCAACTGTTCCACTAATCTGAAACACATTTAGACCTCAATTCTAATAATCAGTCCCACTGACTTCAGTTAATCCTGCTTTAGATCACAGGCGTGCTGGGAACCAAGCCCTAGCTATGATCTCCCCGGGGTATTTTTCATTTACTGCCAACACTGTGTTTTCCCTTAGAACTTTTACACCTTCCCTTCACACTAAATTCTACATGACACATAGCAAGGTGTTCAAAATGCTAGCCATAATGTTACTTATCAAGGTGACAAGTGCCACTTATTTACAACCATGGTGTAAAAATGCCAGCAGATATTCTTCCTGTACAGAACTTGAGTGTCTTTTTTCAGTATATGTATGTATGTACCTTGCTGGTCAGCTCACAAGACCACCCTTGAATACATTTGCCAGCTGGGAATGTCAGGACACTACAACCTATTTCCAAAGACTTCCAAATGACAAAAACATGGAACTCAGCTGGATCCCAAGAAAGCCCAAGAGATTATTCATAAATCTTCCCCCAAAAATTCATGCTGTCTAGTTTAGACATGTCAGACCGGGGGGTGGGGGGAATGGTGTTCATCTCCATTTCTAAGACGAAGAGCCTGAGTTGTCCATAGACGCCTCCAAGGCCATTATAGCCGGCATGACTGCATGTAGTGGTATTACCTTCCCTCCAAAGTGGTATCTATTGATCTACTCACATTTGCATGTTTTCAAACTGCTAGGTTGGCAGAAGCTGGGGCTAACAGCAGGAGCTCGCCCAACTACCCAGATTTGAACTGCTGACCTTTCGGTCAGCAAATTCAGCAGCTCAGCAGTTTAACCCGCTGTGCCACTTGAAAATAATATTCTCCCAAAAATATATCCCCGCTTCCCCCCAAAAAACCCACAAGCCATGATTTTGTCATTACATATCAAGGGCACTATTTTGCTATGCCATTATATTTAATTAGATTTAATAAGCATCCATGGATTTCGGTGTTCACGCTCCTGAATCCAAACCCAGTGGATACCAAGGCCCACAACACTTGAGACCTAGGCATTTACACTGTAGACTTAATATAGTCTGACAGCACTTAATGCATTCGAATCCTGGGAACTATAGTATTAGGGTTTTTTGTTTTGTTTTATGAGTCAGAAGTGACTTGAGTAACTGCAAGTCACTTCTGGTGTGAGAGAATTGGCTATCTGCAAGGATGTTACCCAGGGAATGCCCAGATGTTTGATATTTTATCATCCTGTGGGAGGTTTCTCTCATGTCTTCACATAGGAAGCTAGTACTGATAGATGAGAGGTGACCCCACTCCCCGGATTTGAACCACCAACATTTTGGTCAGCAGTTCAGCAGGCACAAAGGTTTAACCCAGTGGTTCCCATCCTGTGGTCCATGGGCCACCAGTAGTCCACAAGAACTAAAATATGTCTGTGGCCTCACCATTACTACACCATTGCAAGGAGAGTGACCGGTCACACTAAACCCTCTTATAATTCCAAAAGTTATAAGTATGGGTTTCTCTGGGTGGGCAGATGGCGACTACTGGATGGTATAGGTTCTGTATCAGAAACTAGATCTGATGTGCTACTTCATCACACTAGAGAAAGAATCCACTTTATATCTGGTTGCTACCTCCTGCAGAATTCTGGGGTTTGTAGCTTGGCCCCATGTAAGCTGCCCCAGTCCCTTGGGGAGATGGAAGCGGTATAAAAATAAAGTTATTATTATTTGAAACAGGACAAGATGAGTCCATGACAGACAAGATCCCTCTGCTGGCTGTTGGATTGGATCAAACATCGAACACTTCTCAAGTGTCTAGGACTGTGTGATGTATTGGCGAATAATGCATGCAGATCCCAGTAAGGTGGCCTTCTGCAGCTAGCAGATGGTAATTTTGTCAGCGCCGATTGTGTTTAAGTGCAAACCAAGGTCTTTAGGCACCGCACCCAGTGTGCCGATCACCACTGGGACCACCTTTACTGGCTTGTGCCAGAGCCTTTGCAGTTCGATTATTTTTATTTATTTATTTAGGGAGGAGCCTTTAAGTGCCTCACTAAACTACAAACCCCAAAATTGTGCAGAAGGCAGAAACCGTATTTAATCGTAGAATCATAGAGTTGGAAGAGACCTCATGGGCCATCCAGTCCCACCCCCTGCCAAGAAGCAGGAATATTGCATTCAAAGCACCCCTGACAGATGGCCATCCAGCCTCTGTTTAAAAGCTTCCAAAGAAGGAGCCTCCACCACACTCTGGGGCAGAGAGTTCCACTGCTGAATGGTTCTCACAGTCAGGAAGTTCTTCCTCATGTTCAGATGGAATCTCCTCTCTTGTAGTTTGAAGCCATTGTTCCGCGTCCTAGTCTCCAGGAAGCAGAAAACAAGCTTGCTCCCTCCTCCCTGTGGCTTCCTCTCACATATTTATACATGGCTATCATGTCTCCTCTCAGCCTTCTCTTCTTCAGGCTAAACATGCCCAGCTCCTTAAGCCGCTCCTCATAGGGCTTGTTCTCCAGACCCTTGATCATTTTAGTCGCCCTCCTCTGGACACATTCCAGCTTGTCAATATCTCTCTTGAATTGTGGTGCCCAGAATTGGACACCATATTCCAGGTGTGGTCTAACTAATTTAAAGTGGATTCATTCTCCAGTGTGATGAGGTCTGTGATCTATCCAATGCAATTTTATGAATCAGCACCCAAATAACCAAACCGAATCTAAATATGGCCAAAAACCTATTTTGGTACTAATGTTGGAGGGGGGTCCCTAGTAAAAAAAAAAAAAGTTGGGAACCACTGGTTTAACCTATTGCACCACGAGGGGCTCAATGAGGCACCTGCACTCTTTGGCAAAGACTTTGAATGTACAGCACAGCAGTTAAAGTGATGTATGTCCAGCTGCATCCATTCCCCTGAAGTGTGGATGCTCCCCTAGATTCCTGTAGGATGTGTGCGAAGGAAGAGGGAAGGGAGGGAGAGGAGAGGAGAGGAGAGGAGAGGGGAAGGCCGGCTCCTCTTACCTCTCCTTGCCGGTGGTAGTGCTTCAGCCCTTTGCCGCCCTGGCTGAAGAGCTTGCTCTTCTTGCCGCTGCCGGGCGCTCCTCCTTGGTGGAAGGGGGTGGACCTGTTGGTGGCCTGGGTGGGCGCCTCGCCCAGGAGGGTGGCCTTGATGGAGTTGGCCTGGGCGCCCTCCGGCTGGGAGCTCTCCGCCGCCACCAGCAGCGCGGCCAGGAAGAGGAGCGGGCGCGGGGAGCCCCCTTGGCCCCCTTTGCCCCGCGTGGCCATCTCCCCTCGGGCCCGGGACCCAAGGCGGACGGCGCGGACGGGGCGGACGGGGACGCTCCTTCTGCGCCTCCCGAGTCAGCAAGAGAGGCGCAAAGAGGGATGGAGAGGAGCAGGAGGAGGAGGAGGAGGCGGCGGGCGACTCGAAGGCGCTTCTTGAAGACCCCCCAAAAGCTCGGAAGCAGAAGCAAAGGGTGCGGGTCACCGTCTGGAAGCCTCCTGGCCCTCGGTGGTCTTGCCTAGTGGTGTCAGGAGACAAAAGGAGCCCGGCTGCGAAGGAAAGAGGCGAGGAAGGAAGGAAGGAAGGAAGGCGCCTGCCCACCCGAGGAGCGCCGCTGGGGCTCCAGGAGGCGAGGGAGGCAGAAGGGACGGCTCGCCCCCAACCCTCCCTCCCTCCCCGCCTCCCTCCCCGCCTTCCCTCCCACTCCTCCGCCTCTTCTTCTCCTTCTTCTTCTTGCCAAACTCAAACCAGATCCAGTCCCAGAGAAACTTTGGGGCGCTGGCTGTCCGGGCAAACTTCCCTCTCAGTGTGCTTGCGTCTCTGTCTTCTAGAAAGGGGCACGGGTCGCCCCCCGGTCCTCCAGGGATTTGGTCCTGGGCATCCCGAGAAGAGAGAGTCGCGATACACAGGGCAGAGGAGGAGGAGGAAGAGGAGGGGGCGATGCCAGCAAGACGCCACAGGACCCGGCCACGCGTTCCTCCGTCCGCCTGGCTCTCCTCTCTCTCTCCCTCTCCCTCTTTCAGCCCCACTCGCTTATATAGCTTTCCCACCCACCCGCCGGAGTCCGTTTTCCCTCCGCCCCGGAGTGACAGCGAAAGGAAGCTGACTCATTCCCCAGCGCCCACTCCCCACCGCTCCTCCGCCCCTCTGCACGGTGGAATTAACGCAGTTTCACGACGCTTGAACTTCCCCGCCTCAACTAGGGAGTTTTCGTTCTGTAAGGTGCCTCACCAAACCATAACTCCCGTAGCACTGAGCCATAGCTCTTGGAGTGGGATCTTCCTGCATTAAAGTGGGGTCACACTACAGCAGGCATGAGCAAACTTGGGCCCTCCAGGTGTTTTGGACTTCAACTCCCACCATTCCTAACAGCCAGTAGGATGTTAGGAATTATGGGAGTTGAAGTCCAAAACACCTGGAGGGCCCAAGTTTGCCCATGCCTGCTATCTACAATACACAGTCTTCCTCTGCCCTGGCTCAATGGTATGGGAGCCTGGGTGTTTCACCTCCTCTGCTAAAGAATGCTTGTGCTTCACCAAACTGCAACTTCCATGATTCTATAGCAGGTATGGGCAAACCCAGACCCTGCGGCGGATGCGGCCCCTTGGGCTCTTTTTTCAGGCTCTCCTCTCTCGCACCATCCTATCCTTCCTTCCTTCTCTCTTTCCTTCCTCCTTCCCTCCCTCCCTTCCTTACCTCCATCTTTCTCCTTCCATCCATCCTTTCTTCCCTTCTACCCTTTAGTCATTCCTTCCCTCTTTCGTTCCTCTCTCCCTCTTTTTCCTTCCTTCCTTCTCTTTTGTCTTTCGTTCTTTATTTCCTCATTCTCCCTCCCTCAATTCCCTTCCACCTTTCCTCCTCCTTCTCCCTTCCTCTTCCCTTTCCTTCCTCTTCTCCCTCTTCCTCTCTCCCTTTCTCCTTCCTCTTCTCTTTTCCTTCCTTCTCTTTCCTCCCTCCTCCTTTCTCCTCCTTCTTCCCTTCCATTTTTCCTTCCTTCTCTCTTCCTCCTTCCCTTCCTTCTTTCCATGCTCCTTCCACCTTCCTTCTCTCTTCCTCCTCCCTTCCTTCTTTCCATCTTGCCTTCCATCCTTCCTTCTTCTTTCTCCTTCCCTCCTTCCATCCTTGCTTTCCTCCTCTTTCCTTCCTCTCTCCTCCCTCCTTCCCTCTCCCCTCTTCTCCTTCCTTCCTTCCTTCTTCTTTCCTTCCTTCCTACTTTCCTTCCTTCTTTCTTTCTCCTTCCCCTCTTTCATTCCCTTCCCTTCCCCTTCTTCCTTCCTTCCTTCTTCCTTCTTTTCCTTCCTTCTTCTTCCTTCCTTCCATTCCATTCATCCTTCACTTTCTTCCTTCTCTTTCTCCTTCCTCCTTTCCTCCTGGGGAATGTTTGGCTGGGTGAAGAGAAGGCAGAGAGGGAACACGAGAACCATGTTTCCAGATGTAAAAAGGTGTCCCATTGAGGAGGAGGGAGGGGGGAAACTGACTTTCTTCTGCTCTAGAGACCAGGGCACAAGGCAGCAATGGGTTCCAATGGTAAGAGCTGTCGGAGAGTGGCATAGGCTGCCGCTGAGTGTGGTGGAGTCTTCCCTGGAGGCTTTTCCACGGAGGCTGACTATTGGGAGTGCTTTGATTGTGCCTTCCTGCATGGCAGGGGGTTGGACTGGGTGGTCTTTGGGGATCTCTTCCAATTCTAGGATTCTATATCAGGAGTAGGTAATGCGCGGTCTAATGGATACACATTTTTTCTCCCGTCCACCATCTCATCCTGACCAATCCTTTTGGGATCCAAACGTTTCCTGTCTTTTCCCACCATGCGGCCCCCAAGTTAGAAAGTTTGCCCATGCCTGTTCCATAGTAATAGGTCATGGTAGTTAAAGTAGTGCCAAATTGTACTCATTCTACAGTACAGATGCCCCCTAAGACCAGGGTTCGCATCCCTCGCTCGGCTATGGAAACTCACTGGGTGACCGTAGGGAAGTCCTTCTCTCTCAGCTTTGGAAGGAGGTAAACACAAACCCCGCTCTAACCAACCCAACCCATACGTAGGAACCCATACGTAGGAACCGACGTGAAGGAAGACAATTAAGAAGAGCGGGATATCGTCTCTAGATTGATATCAGTCATTCCTGACCTTGTGATGTCGGATGGGAAGCCGAGGAAGGAGCCCATAAGAGCACAGGCTGCAAACTTTTCACCCAGGTGTTTTCCCTGGGTTTTGGATTCGCTTGCTTTCGAACAGTTCCCCAAACTGGTTTTCCAGGTGTGTCGGACTTCATCTCCCAGAATCCCTGGACATAGTCAAGGCAGCTGAGGCTTCTGGGAGTTGAAGTCCAAAATACCTGGAGTTTAGGAATCACTGGTTTCAATGGAGATCTCATCCGAACGTGTCCTCTCCCACTCTGCCGGACAAGATCCTCTTTCTCCTCTTCCCCATCTCCCATTTCTTCATGCCTTCTTTTTCCTTCCCTCCGACTTGTTCTTAAGAGAGCAGTTGCAGGTGAAAGACTTGGGAGAAGAAAGGCAAACGACGACAGAATTGATGGACACATCTGTTGGGGAGAGGCTCTTCCCCAGAGACACCCGTTTCCATCTGTTGTGCTTGTCTAACTATTGCTCTGGGACCTGGGAGACCAGGGTTCACATCCCCATAGAGGCCCACAGCTGAATAAAATCCCATATTATATTCTTTGAACTGGAATATATGGCAGTGTGGACTCAGATAACCCAGTTCAAAGCAGATATTGTGGGTTATTCTTCCTTGATATTCTGGGTTATATGGTTGTGGGCCCTCAGTCATGGACGCCCACTTGGTGACCTCGGGAAGACCAATTTCCTCCACCTCCTTTGAACAAATCCTGCAAGAAAATTCCTCAGAAAGGGTTACCATTCGCCAGAATCAACTTGAAGGCACAGGTAATGCCCTGAATCCTATTATTAGCCTGAAATAGAGTAGACCAGTGGTTCTCAACCTGTGGGTCCCCAGATGTTTTGGCCTTCAACTCCCAGAAATCCCAACAGCTGGTAAACTAGCTGGGATTTCTGGGAGTTGTAGGCCAAAACACCTGGGGACCCACAGGTTAAGAACCACTGGGGTAGACCCACAAAATAAATACAAGTTACATAACTGTTGACTCAGCAGGCAACACCTTGATTCCTATTTTAGCCCTAACTAGAGTAGATACAGAATAAATATTATTTACATATTTATTTACTTACTTACTTACTTATTTACTATAATTATATCCCACCCTTCTCGACGCTGAAGGGGACTCAAGACGGCTTACAGAGGAGGCAAAAATCAATGCCTTAAACAATTCAACAATTAAATAACATTTAGTTAATCATCAAAACAAGGTTTAAATCAATTAAAACATAAACAATACCAGTTACAGCTATAAAATCATGTTATCCACAATCAAGATCGGGGCATTCCAATGACTGTTATACATAAATCCAAGTAATTTATGTATTAGTTGCTGAAGACTTGGTCACAAAGCCATGTTTTCAGTTTTTTTCTGAAAGTCAGGAGGGAAAGGGCTGATCTAATATCACTTGGGAGGGAGTTCCATAGCCAAGGAGCCACCACTGAAAAGGCCCTGTCTCTCGTCCCCATCAACCATGCCTGCGAAGGGACTGAACACTTGATTTGTTGGTCAACTTGATTTGTTGGTCAACTTGATTTGTTGTTCAATGTGTTGTCGAAGGCTTTCATGGCTGGAATCACTGTGTTGCTGTGAGTTTTCTGGGCTGTATGACAATGTTCCAGAAGCATTCTCTCCTGAAGTTTTGCCCACACCTGTGGCAGGCATCCTCAGAGGGGTCTGTTGGGGAAAAAGCAAATGGGGTTTATATCTGTGGAATGTCCAGAGTGGGAGACAGAACTCTTGTCTGTTTGAAACAAGTGTGAATTTTGCAATTGGCCACCTTGATTAGCATTTAATCGCTTGAAGCTTCAGAGTCTGGCTGGTTGCTGCCTGGGGGAATCTTTTGTTGGGAGGTGTTAGCTGACCCTGACTGATTCTTGTCTGGTATCCCCCTGCTTTTTTTAGTGTTGTTCATTATTTATTTCCCTGATTTTAGAGGGTTTTTTTTTATACTGGTAGCCAGTTTTTGTTCATTTTCATGGCTTCCTTCTTTCTGTTGAAATTGTCCACATGTTTGTGGATTTCAATGGCTTCTCTGTGTAGTCTGACATAGTGGTTATTAGAGTGGTCCAGCATTTCTGTATTCTCAAATAATATGCTGTGTCCAGGTTGGTTCGTCAGGTGCTCTGCTATGGCTGACTTCTCTGGTTGAATTAGTCTGCAGTGCCTTTCATGTTCCTTGATTCTTGTTATGGCAATACTGCATTTGGTGGTCCCTTTGTAGACTTGTCCACAGCTGCATGGAATACGGTAGACTCCTGCAGAGGTGAGAAAATCCCTCTTGTCTTTTGCTGAATGTAGCATTTGTTGGACTCTCTTAGTGGGTCTGTAGATAGTTTGTAGATTGTGTTTCTTCATAAGTGTTGTCTTGCCACTTAACATTTGATTCAGGTGGGCAGCTTAGTTTTGTTGTTGTGAGCTTTAAGTCATTTCAAACCTATGGCACTCCTAAGGTAACCCCAGCATGAGATTTTCTGGGGCTGAGAGTATGTAACTCCCCCAAAATAATCCAGTGGATTTTGAAGG